AACTCAACATGGAAAACTTAAGTGCTATAAACTGCAAAGCTCTGAAAGAAGGTCCTGCTTGATTGAACGTTGGATCTCACAGGAGATCTAATGAGAAAACTTGAAAAGTAAAACGATAATAAGTCAAAGACTACTGCAAGGCTGACACAATGTCGTAAGTTGAGCTTATATTTAAAACAATACATCGGCTGGCCTCAGGTTTAGATGTTACTAAATTATAAAAACGAAATTACAGTATTATATAATGGTGCCGATGTTTGTCCTGTTTTCAATAGCTGTTTCGTTCATTAAAAATTGTTCGTTTCGCTCATCTAAGTTCATTAAGGTCGACGAATAGGACACATTCTCATCAAAGCTCACCACATTAGCATGAGATTTACTCATTTTCAGGTCCCTTTCCAGCAAACAAATGCACATCTCCTGGTCATTTTTAATGCCTTGACGAGTCAAATGCTCGTGAAATTCAGCCCTCAAGTTGGCCATAGTACTAATTCGAACATTCCAAGTCAACTCCACTTCAATTTAGCGAAAGACCTAACATTAATGGTCGTGTAAAAGCTACAAAATCATCAATCGGGCTGGCTCGATGCACGCATTGAGTAGTAACCACGCAAACGGGAAAAATTAACGCCCGGGCGGAGTGTGGGGGTATTCAGCGGGCATGCTTTTAAATAACAAATATATTGTGTAAGCGTCACGGAATATTTAAGTACCATTCACACAGATCTTTAAGGTCAATTAGTTTATTTAGGTGTCATCAATTGTCATCGAATAACGCTTAAAACTTTCAAAAGTGTGCATTCGCTCAATGTTGCACACCTGGTATCATTTTTACCTCTGNAACATTGCTCACACAAACATGTCGGATCTCCATCATTTGCTACGCATGAATGAAAAGCATTTCCGCGATCTGTCACTCGCTCCACCAGCACCCACTCCCTCGATTTTTTGGGAAAAATTAACGTCCGGGCGGCGTGTGGGGGTATTCAGCGGGCATGCTTTCAAAAAACAAATATGTTGTGTAAGCGTCACGGAATATTTAAGTACCATTCACACAGATCTTTAAAGTTAATTAATTTATTTAGGTGTCATCAATTGTCATCGAATAACGCTTAAAACTTTCAAAAGTGTGCATTCGCTCAATGTTGCACACCTGGTATCATTTTTACCTCTGTTTGCAAATTTATAATACTCAATTCTTTTTCCCCTCTTCTGTACATAAGTTACAATGATGGTGGCATTCCGAGTTAAAGCGGACAAACGTGGCCTTTTTCCAAGGCATACTGAAGTACGTTGTTCCATCACTGTGGCAGCTTGCTAAGGTTTAATTAAGTTAACGGCAAAGAAAAAAAGAAGAGTTTTTTCTTAGTTTCACTTTTAGGTTTACTGACATGGAATCGACATAATGTTATGCCGTGTTCACAACAACTGGTAAGAGGCTCAAAAATTTACAAATGGAATTAAGACTCGTTTCAAAACAAAAATCTTGTTTAAGACAAATAATCTGGGGCTAGT